TTTTTTTTTTTTTTTATCTTTGAGTGCCTGATGTCGAATTGGCTAGAACTTTCAGAGGTTATTTGGTTACATTGTAGATCCTCTTGTGTATTAAGTTAATCCAGGTTCCATATTGTGTGTCATTCTCTGAATTTGGCTTTTATAGTATTTTGGCTATTGAATGATGTATTCTTGTATAGTGACTTCTTGCTCTGCAAACTGAACAATAATTTTTGAATCTTGCATTGTCCAATGGACTAAATTTAACACGTTTTAAGGTGATTTGTAAGTGAAGGTAAAGGCATTTGCATAGTTTCTTTGAGTTATGGTTTCTTTCTTGAGAAGCTGACTCTCACGCACTCATGCAGCCCAAGTAATTAACCTGAGTTGGGAGTAGGTTTTTACTGGTGCAACTGTTGTAATACTGATTTCTTATTCTTTTAGTCTCATTGTTGTGCTAGTGAGTGTGACATTCTCAAATATGGCTTCTCATGATAGTTAACAGTAAACCCTTCTCTTTGGGAGAAAAATGGAAAGGAAGCTGTAAATAACATTTAAATTCTCGTTCAGGTGATCAAAGCAGATGAGGTTAATCAGCAGTTGATATTTTCAGAAAAGGAGGCCAATTGGTCAATATTCTATCCTCAACTGGAGATAGGTGACATTTTTCATGCCAGGGTGGGATCTGTAGATAAATTTGGCGCCTTTCTTCGTCTCCGTTTCCCAGATGGTATATTTGTACTTGTATAACACTTTTATTAATTGTCTTTCGCAAATTTGGGGCAGCAATTGTTGGCATGACAAAAACTTGCATAAACTTGCACATATCTGTGGATTATGATTTATGATTTACTGGTTTAATACGCAGGCCAAGTCTAACATGAATAATCCCCATATATTAATGCAGAATGTACCGATCCTACATGTCGATCTCTGGTACTTTGTATTTCTATGTGTCTCGAATTTTGGTGTTTCATGATACTATTTGTCGATTTTTTGCGCTTCTAAGTAGTCCATGTAGATTCAGATTATATTCATAACGATTAGAATTTTTAAAATTATAGAACACTTGACTAAGTTAAAGTATAAATGTATTTAGAAGACAATAATTTTTGTAGTTGTTATTATTATTTTTATGCATAATAATATATCAAATTAATCATTTTTTACGACCTTCGATTTGATATCCATTTATATTGCATATACGAGTTATATAATAATTTTGTTTTTTATAATAAAATTAAATTATCTATTAATGCTAATTCATAATAAATAAAATAGAAATGCTACATTGTCACCTAGTGTACAACTAGGTTGACAACACAAGTGGAAACATCCACTTGTGCATATTTTTTTTTATTATTATTTTTGTGAATGTTTTCACTTGTGTTGCCAACCTAGTTGTACACTAGGTTGACATTGTATCATTTTTCTAAATAAAATTATATATCAATTAAAAAATTTATCTATAAATTTGTTACATATGAATTAGAATAATTATTATAATATAAGACGGACAAATCGTACGAGTGAAAAGTCTCATTTTAAATATAAACAACAATGCAATTTTTTAAAAGGAGTTGAAATTTAAATAAAACTTTTCTTTTTACATTTGTTTTAATTCAGTATAAATATTTTAATTAGCACACATGTAATCATATGTGTAATCATAGGTGTTGTACTAGTATGAATTTAAGATTGGTGGGAGAAGATTTAATTTGGATGATACGATTGACTTATGTGACCCACATTATGATGTTATTGTGCAAGTTGCATTATCTTTTTGTTTTTTTTTTGTTGCATATATAGTAGTGTAATTATTTTACTGTAAAAGGATCAAATTTAAGTAATTAAAACCTTCAGTGAGAAAACAGACGTGTGACCCATATATAAGTAAAAAACTATAGCAGTATTGGTTTCTTGAAATGGGGTTGGAAAAATGATAATCTGTGTCAGTTTAGGGTTGGGAATCTGACATGAACAGTCAAATGGGCAAAGTTGAACTGAGATGAAAAATCTGGCACAAAGAATAAGGAGGTTATGCGGTATATGATAGAAATTACATCCCTGGTGCAAATTATCTGATATTGCAATCGCTCCTGAATTTTTGCAGGGCTTTATCATCTCAGCGGAAGAGTGCATGTTTCAGAAGTATCATGGGACTTGGTCCAAGACGTGAGAGATGTCCTAGCTGTGGGTGATGAAGTGAGAGCCAAAATTGTGCATATAGATAGGTGACTGTAGTATTCTATTCTTAAATCCTGTAAATATGTACCTTTTACTCATCGATATTGCTATTATAGAGTTGCATGCACGCCAATAAATTCCCGTGTACATATATGGGGTTTCTTTACTCATACAAACGTTCTCTTGCTCATATATTAGGCTTTTTTCCTCATTCAAACTAGTACATTTATACGCATAAGTATGTACGGTTTATATTGACCAGTATCTTGCAGGAAGAAGCCATTGATCAAATTGTCCATAAAACAACTGTTTGAAGATCCTCTTAGAGAAACTTTTGACAAAGTTATTCCTCAGGTTCCTGCACTTTGTTTTCTACGCTGAGCAATTTTCTAACTATCAGTGTAGAGTCGAAACACTGATGCATGTGTTACAGGATATCTCAGCAGTTCCTGATGCATTAGATGAAAGTGCTCTTGTTACCATAGAACCTCTTCCAGGGCTTGACACAATAATTGAAGAGCTATTGAAGGAAGATGGGTATGGTTGTAGTAAGAAAAATATGAATTCACGTATCCGAATTCCAGTGTTCTTGTAATTTTCGTGGTATGGGATAACTAAGGGTGTGATTGGATATGGTTTTGATTGGTTTGTAAGTTAACTATAGTCAATTTTGAAAAAGGTGCTATTATTAGTTGTTAGTGAAAATTTAATTTTAAAATAATATAATATTTAGAATAAAATAATTAAATTTGATTTGATGTAAAAGTAGATGAAAAATGATTAGAAGTGATGGTTAGTTAAAATTATGTGAGTGGATGAATAGTGAATTAAAATTGATGTGATGTGGAAGAATGATTGGGTTGATATTATTTAGATATTAGGATAGTATGTCCATTGCATATGGAGCTGGAAGAGTCATTGTTGACAATTCTCCTGGTATACTGCTAATAATGGACTAGATCAAAATGGCTCAATTAAATTCTAGTGCTTCTTCTATTAGTGAAGTTTCTAGAAAAAATATATCAAACGACGCAACGCACCTTGGGTCGCTATGGAAACAGCCTCCTTGTATAATTACAAGGGTAAGGTCTGCGTACAACTGACCCCCCAGACACCAACCTGTTGGGAATATACTGGGTATGTTGATGTTGATGATGTAATATTAGGATAGTGAGATTGGGGTAAAGTTGAGGTAAAGTTGAGTTTTGATTATTTTTTTTTATTGGTCAAGTTTATATCCAAGCACACCCTATGTAACTTGGACTTCGCTTGGTTTTGCAGCCCATACTTGGTTGAGTAATGGGATCAAGAAAACTTGACAAATTCTCAAATGAATGCTTCCGCGTTCTTATTCTTATACGCTTTCTTGTGCTTTTAAAAGGGTCAATTTACCTGGCTCATGAGGTTTTCTAATTGGATTGGTTCTAAAGTGCCTATTTATATGTTTGATGCCCTTGAGATAATATCTATTTGTCCTTTGGTCCACATCTTTGGCTCCATATAGTTAGGAGTTATAGCGAATGCCTGACCATTCATAGTTGGTACTGGTTTCTGACCTTTTGAGCTTTGTGTTTATGCATTCCAGCATAGATGGTGTGAAGATCAGTGGACAAAGATGCGAAAAAAGTGTACTTTCCCAGGATTTGCAGCTTTGGCTTACAAATGTAATAACTAATACGTCATCTCGTAGTTGTTTATAATAAACATTGACATGATTCTGCATTTTAGTTGCAGCTGTAGGAGAAAACCATTATGCAGTAAATCTCATATCTTTCTTGTACAGGCACTACCTTCAGGAGGTCAATACACCCTTCTTGCTCGAGCAGGAAGTCAGGCAAATTACCATCAATGCTACTATATTTCCTTCTACTCTCTCTCTCTCTCTCTCTCTCTCTCTCTCTTTCTCTCTCTCTCTCTCTCTCTCAATATAAATTTGATGTTCAGGTGCTAGAATTACAGCTGACAACATACCTTGATCTCGATGGAATTAAGAGTGCACTGGAGCAGGTGCTGAAACGCGTTCCATGAATTTTCTACGTTCCGTTAGAGAATTCTCTATTGGGGTAACCGGTTAGTTTTAGATGCACATAATCAGCATTGAAGCACGTTGCCAGCAAATCGGATGTGATTGCCCAACCTAAAGGTTCAGGCCGGCAGATGCTATAGACGAGACCATCAATGATTTTATGTTATTTCCCCTTTCAGCTTTCTATGTACACGTACTTTTGATTCAAATATTTTGTTACATGTGATTTTCTTGGATGTTTGCATCTAAGTGAAGCTGGACTTGACTTGTCAAAGAAGTTGAATTTTGTTTCGATTATGTCATAAAAATGGTTACGTAAATAATGGTGGAACGAAATCATTATTAGTTTCCTAAGTAACAATTATTATGAAAAAGGGTGTTGATAATTGCTGCACCCACTTTTTTTAATAAATACTGCACCTAAAAAAGACAATTTTGCCCTTTTCCACTTTTATTTATTTATTTATTTTTTCTGTTGGTCGGCCGCTAATTGCGGCCGCAACTCGCGCGGCTGGCCGCTAATAGCGGCCACCACAAGCTCGGCCGCACCCGTTAATTGCGGCCGAACTTGCTCAATTGCGGTCGCCTCTCGACTAGCTGACTGTTAATTGCGGCCGGCCCATTTTTTTTTAATTTAAATATTTTAAAAACTAAATAATTGTTTATTATTATCAATCAAATATCAAAAAAACTAATTAATAATTATTAATGCAATGCTACAATATTTATAGTCATTCCTTGTCTTTCATTGGACTTTTTCATCCAATGTGGGACATTGTAAATCAAATGTTTCAGTCTCCCAACCTTTTATAACCACTTTTGGTCTTTATTATTGTGTTTGTAATCGATGTGGATTGTCCAATGTCTCTAGCCTTTTATAATTAATTTTTACATTCTTTTTTGCTTTCAAAATCAATGTGGGACTAAATGATACTTACTTTAACACACTTTCACTATGTATGCCAAGATGAATATCACATTATCATTATTTAGACTTATTATTATCTTAAACTGATAAATGATTAAATTTAACTAAATGAACGTGAAATATGGTAAAACATTATGGGTTTTTACATAATAAAAGAAAATGCACTTATCATCCTACTTTCTTTTTTTTTTATATAAATGATATAATTTATTTATGTGTTAAATATTTAGAAAAATGTATAATTTATTATTATTATTAAATATTTTATTTATTAATAAATATGTTATTTGTAATTAATATATATATATATATATATTAGTGAAATTATAATTAATATTGTAATATAAGTTGAAAAAAATGTATAATTTTTTAATTAATTAGTTTGTACAATTATATAATCAAAAAATAATATTTTATTAATTAATATATTGATTACATTTTTATATTAAAAAAGTATATATCTTATAATATATTATACATATAATATATTAAATCCAACTAATATATTATATTTGTTATAATTATAACTAACATATATACTTAAGTAACATATTTAATATATAATAACAAATTATATAATTTTTAAATTATTAAAACATATATAAATTATATTTTTATAATCAAATATTTATTTATTATATAAATTATATTAGAATTTAGATATTATGTTATAAATTAGAATTTATTATCTTATAGTTAGAATTTAAAAATTATATATTATAAATTATCATCCCGAGAGTTCCAACCTGCACACCAACGACGAAAAGAGAACTGGAAAACGACAGAAAAATACAAGATAAACTAAAATAAAACAAAACGCTCAATAAGCTAAAAGAACGAATAAAAACTAATGAAAAGACCTAAAACATAGGAAAAGAAGGACAAAACAAATGCGAAAAAACGTAAAAAAAAAGGGATAAACATCAACCAATTTCTCAGTTGGAATATTCACGAATAATAGGGAGTCTATTCTACCTGACGAACTGTACACGACCAAATTTGGCATATTCGGTGAGTAAGTTGGGCAAATTTACGAGCAATCCCAGTCATGAGCATTGGAATGCTTTGAAAAGGGTACTTAAGTACTTAAAGTACACCTTTCAATACGGGCTAAAATACTCGAGATACTCAGATGTACTTGAAAGGTACTGTGATACAAGTTGGATCTCAGATTCGAGAGATTCTCATTCCACTAGCGGATATGTTTTCTGTATTGGAGGAGGTGAAATTTCGTGGAAATCCACAAAACAAACTTGTATAACTCCTCAACCATGGAATCAGAGTTCATCGCTTTAGATAAAGCTGGTGAAGATATCGAGTGGCTTCGAAATTTTTTATCCGATATTCCAAGTTGGAATAAGCCTTTGTCGCCTGTTATGATTCACTGTGGTAGTCAAGCTGCTATAGGAAGGGCGCAAAGCAACATGTATACCGGTAAGTCTAGACATATTCGTCGTAGACATAATACCGTTCGACAATTGTTCACAAATGGTATTATTTTCATTGAGTATGTGAAGTCTAAGGAAAATTTGGTTGATCCTTTGACTAAAGAAATAAATAAAGATCAACTGGGAATTTTGCTAGAGGGAATGGGCTTAAAAATCCACAATGAAAAGAATGATCATAGTGATAACCCTACCTTGCTAAATGGAGATTCCATGAACTTGGTTCAAATAAAAACTAAACTATGAAAATTCAACTGATCACTTGGAATATATGAATGTCCCAAGCTATTCCCTAAAGCACTCCAAGTACCGGATGACCTGTTGATTGTGGTGAGGGTAAGTCATCTGGACTTTTAATTAATCCCTAATCTCTTAGAGGTGGAGTTATACAGGATACTCTTGATAGGGAGGTCATTTATATAAGTGTGAAGGGCCGCTTCAAACGTAAACTTTTATGAATCCAAGTGTTGTCCATGGCCAAAACGGACACAACAATAGAACGGGATGAAGTTAAGGCTCTATTGTGTGGATGTCATTGTCTTAGTGTACACTATGGAGAAATAGTACAAGGCAATATGTCCATTAAGCCACCAGTACATCCGATGATGTTTACTAAGAGGGGTTCAAAGTCACAAACTACCTTTAATGATGCAATAGAGTTTTGTGAGAATTGAGCACACTAGTCTATATATATATAATGAAACTCATGTGGAGGATTATAAAAAAGTAATTGAGTTTCATTAATGGATGTTGGTCCCACCATTATAATTTTTGAAACCACTTTGTCAAATTTGCAGCTCAATACGCGTGAAGATTCCTCTGCCATTTGGCCACATGTCAACTTGCCTTAATAATTTTTTGATGTAATAGTTGAGTATGGCCAGACATTAACTGCTCTCTCTCCTCTATAAATATTGTTCCTGTTGCTGATAAAGGATACACGGAAGAAAGAACAACGAAAAAAATTTTAGAAACAAGAGAAAAAATACGAAAGATAGAAAAAGAATTGTTGTGGGAAAAATAAAGAGAAATCAGATATAAAAATCATCTGTTATCAAAATAGCAAAAGAGGGAATTTTATTCTTATTTTAAGTGCTCAATTCTCGACTCCGTTCCAGTTCACTGAAGCTCGTAAATCTAGTGTGCACAAATTTCGAGACGTCGTTGTATCTTTGGGGATGATACGCCTGAACCGTTAGCACTACATGGTGCGTATTCGTCTTGCGGAAAGAGTATATCGCCTCGGCTAAATTCTTTTCTTTTGTAATATATTTTCGGTTGTATTGTAATTTTTTATTTTTAGTTCATTTATAAGAACTGAAAATTGCATACCAGTTCGTAGGATTCCGTGTAATTCTACTACATAATTTTATTAACACTCGAGTGAAGTCGGTTCAAAGAAGCTGTAGTTCGGTTTCAATGTTTGACCTTGTCAAAAAGGTCGCTTATGTCGCTTGAGGTATGAGACGACCTAATAAGAAAGCTTGAAGGTCGAGCTCCTCTGTGAGCTCGAGCTGACAAAGGTACCTGACAACTCGAAGGTCGTGAATAGGGAGGTCGAGGCCACGACCTAATTACTGTCCGTGGCAGGTAGGTTGTATGACCTAAGACCATCCTTAGACCATCTTTATCTCCAACCCAACCCAACACAACCTAATAATTAAATGTTATATCTCTCTCCTCCACATACACAATTCAATCTTCCAACCTAATTAATCTTTATCCCCAACCCAACTAAACCTAAATATTTATTTTAATTTAATTTATAAAAAAATTATAATTTTATTTCAAAATATATCAAGTGTGGTCTCTATTTGTAGAGAATGAAAAAATACGAATTTTAATATCATTTTTATTTTTTAAAAATAAAAAATACACCTATCTAATCAAAATTGGACAAGTGTCCCATTTTTTCCCAATAATTGGTCGCGACCCGAGGTCACATTGTGACCTGCTCAAAATTGGTGACCTTTTCATTTTTTTTTTAATTTTTTTCTTGTTTTATTTCGGTGACCCACTCGTTGGGTCACGGATAAAGGTAGCCTTATCAACAACACAACCTAATCCAACTCAACCTAACAATTATAAATTATTTTTCACTCCTCTACCTACACAACCCAACTTATTTTTATTCCCAGGCCCAACCCAACCTAAAATATTTATTTATTTTTTATTTATTTATTTATTAAGTATTATCTACAATAGCTTTTTTTATTATTTTAGGCGTGATAAATTAATTAAAAAATTATAACTAAATTCGTAATCATTAAAAAATTATAACTAAATTCGTAATCATTTTTTAAAACATTTATTTTATCATATAATAAAAAATAATATTATGAACTCAATTAATATTTAGAATTAAAAATTGGAACCAAAATTAAAATTAGTTAAACAAGTTACAAATAATTTGAGTAAAGTTACATATCAATTACCATTAATAAATTACATTTTTTGTGTTCCGAAACATATCATATATGGTCTCTATTTATGAAAAAATACGAATTTTAATATTTTTTATTTTTAATATAAATTAACTCCTAAAAATACAAATTAATTTTTATCATATTTAAAAAATATACTTGTCCAACAAATTTGGACAAGTATCCCTAATGCTCCCACCAGCCGG